TTTTCTTTTTAAAAAGACTTGGGAAGGTCCAAGGTGATCGAATGGGCAACATATGGTCTGCCAGGTGGGACAAAAGGAAGATGACACTGTGGATCTTCACATGTTAATATATTTGTCCTGTCACATAAACGTTGGAACTAAATCCTAAGTGTATTGTAAGAAGAGTACAATTTATATATGTCAGATAAAGGTGGCAAACACTGCTAAGACTGTGTGGGAAGGAAAGTGGCCTCGCCATTGGGGAGGCGAAGTACACTCTCCTGCATTTCCTACAGCAAGAGGAAATCTTAAACGTGGTACAGCTGAGCTCTGAACCTCTTTGAGTCCCATTCTGGAATGGGAAAAACACACAAGGTCCCGGTAATAGTAATGTTCACTGACTTTACTCTTCAGAAGGGTTTGCGTTACTGCTTCCTAGACATTCTACAGTACAGGTACAGCTGCAGTTCAAGCCTTACCCAGCCAGGGTTTTTGAGAACCCTCTGTGTTCAGTTCATATAGAATGCTCAGCCTAGTCACAGACACCTTAGATTTACATTGTGTGAGGACACACATCACGCTTATCTAAGACGCCTCTGGCCCTCATTGTATGATGCGTATTTGCTGACCCTGGAAAAGATGTCAGCCCGTCTGACCTTTTCTGTCTGTAAAATGAACTTTTGTGCAAATCAGCTTCAAAGTACCTTTCAGCATTTATATTTTGGATTCTCTAAATCCTTTTAATCTTCAAGAAGTTAGAACAGGTATTGGGTCAATGAAAGCGCTTAGAAACCTCATCTCAGAGAATTTACCAGAAGCAAGGAGCAATTGTAAATGACCTTCCTTCTAAGCATATGAATTAAGGGTTAGAACAAATGTGAAAGGCTTTTATTTGATCAAGTGAAAATTTATAACCTTTGAAGAGAAGTATGGAGAGATCTTGGGTAATGAGAAAGCCCCAGGTATGAGTGACCCTCCAAAACCCTGGTCTGTAAGAACTGAAGAGGTTTCTTCTACCGGAAAGACAAAGGCAGCGGCACAGAGGCACCGACTGCATCTGCACATCCTGAACTGGCTGTGCTGAAGAAGGGTGGGGTTTTGTTTCCCAGGAAGGACAGTGGGAGTGAGCCCCAGGTAAGAAAGGACAGGGAAGATGAATCATTAGATATGTTTTAATACTTCACCTAAGCTGCTTCTGCTCTTCAATTGCACATTGAGAAATCAGTTTTTTATTATTTTAGGTGATTATGATTAGCTTTGAGAAACATTCTTGTTTGACTGACTCCTGTTTGATTAAATGCAGTTGTAGTGCTGTCACGAATTTGAGCGCACAGGGCCCCAGAAGGCACACATTCCAGGCTTGTGTGACTCCCTTCCTGCAATTTGCTTGAGCAAAAACTGCAAAGATCCCCACCCGCTTCCCCAAGCAGCGGTCCCTGAAGCCCTCACGGGCGGGTCTCTGACTGTGGGCCTCTCTGCTGGGGGTGAACTTTTGTTCCCACCCTTCACTCCCTGTCTCTGTAGACAGAGGCTGCCGCTGTGATTTAGTGCTTACAGGGCATAAGCTGCTGTTCATGCTTCCCAGGTCACCAGAGGTTCTCTTTCATTATACTCTTAGCATGCAGTAATGACTTGTGGACAAGTCCTTGACAGAACTTTTTTTGTTTTTTTAATTCCTAGGTGCTTGGGAGTGAGAGGTCCTTTCTACACAAGGCTAAAGAGAAAGATTCTCCAAATTCCAATGGGATTCCTTGTGCATTTACCCTTTTCCTTTCCTCTCCTTTTAGTATAGTTAGAACAATCTCTCTCTCTCTCTCTGTGTGTCTCTCTCTCTCTCTCCAAAATTGCTTTGAAGTCTCAGAACCTGCACCGTCCTTCTGTTATGTGTATGTACGCATATGGGGCCTGGCTGCAGAGTGGGAGGTCAGGTGTGCAGCACACCTGTTTCTCAGGAGGGTCCTCAGACTGGGAATCACGGTCGTGACTTATCAGCTCTGCTGGTTGCCTACCAACACAGGTGTCTATGCAGAAGGAAAAGCGAGTTGCTGCTTCTCACTTGCAAATAATCGCCCCACACTTTGCCCTTCAGGAGAGTTAGGGCTGATTATGCTGATGTGACTTGCCCATCACATAAAAATATGTTTTGAGGGTTTTATATCCAGGTTTTTTTATATACAGCTTTTAGAATTAGAACTGGGAAGTCCTGTGTTTTTAAATGTGAAGCGGATCTGAAACCATCTTGGTCTTTAAGACTAACCTGTCCCCTTTGGTTAGAGGAGGATTAAGGAGAAAGCTATGATAGAGATGGACCTTAAGTTACTAGTGATAGTCTCTTATTTATTTGAAAATAAATGAAATAAAATAAATGAAACAAAAAAGAAATGAAGAACCAAGCGCAGACATGGAGGTTTGCTACTCTCCAGCCTCTCAGACTCCACATAACTGAGGGCCACGAGAGGCTGTTTTACAACAGAGATCCTGACCTTTCTTTTCCGGAACATTTTTGCATTCCCCAGCTTCCTTCTCAGTTCTTTATTCACTCATTCCTGTTCTCTTGTCTTTGATTATTTTAAGTGGAAATCAAATAACGTATGCTTTATGATCACAGAGAAATATCATTTTATAGTCTTAACAATAGCAGAACATCTAAAATGTGTCTTTTCCTAAACAGAGTAGGCATCACAGTCAGTGGGGTACCTCTCTGCATCTCTACTCAAAGTGGCCACTCACCTTCTCTGTTCTGAAAAAGGTAAAGGAATCCTTCAAAGCCTGCTGCAGCGATTTTGGATAGGTATGACCACGAATCTGAGCCAGAGTCAGCTATATGACGGCAGGAAGGCAAGATGCACGCTACGTTCTGCAATCTGTATATCAGGGACAACACTGGAGGCAACTGCATGAAACTTCACCTCTGATTTTCTAAAAGCTTAAAAGGGAAAATGCTGTCTTGCCTCACCCGAGCTCTGTGGGAAGAATCGCATAGGCCTGGCTCCTGGGGGAGAGTCAGAGCATGAGCAGTCACAGCTGAGCTCACCTAGGTGTTTGGGGGTTAAGTCTGACGGCACATACAGAGGGCAGTTTCTGTCCAGTGGTTCATAGCTCACCATTCATAACTGCCAGTCACAGCAGAGATAACCCTCAGGGAACATTGCTCATGCCCCTAACTTTAGGAATAATGGGGATATATATATATATACACACACACACACACACACCCGAAAAGATAGCAAAGCTAAAAGGCTAACTTCTTGCAAGGCTGCCCATGAACGAGGCAGGGTATTTGCGTCCTTGTGACCCTGGGCAGGGGTCAGTCACTACCGTAAAGGGAGGACTAAGGCAGACACACCACACACGTGGTTCGGCCTTGTCCCACACCTGTGCTCTTGTACGGCGGATTAGCCGCTTGCATCCGATGTAGAGCAAGCAGTATGCACTGTGGCTGAGTATAAAAGGCATGTTAATAGGCTCAGGTCACATGTTGTCTTGGCCAACAGCAATTTTATATCATTTTCTTAAAGGAAACCACACTCTGCAATAATTTTTCCTATGAAGAAAAATTCAAGGAGACAGAAAGGTTTATGTAGAATTTGTTCGTTTGAATGATAGCATTGAGTTCTTTCCATCCCAAGTTGTCCCAAGACAACTTTAAGATGTCTTTGTTATTTCTTTTGATTAGGTGAAAGATAAGGAGAAATAGTCTGAAAGACCCTCAGTTAAATTTCTGATGACTCTAGTTCCTTCAATAACAGAAATTTTTACAGGTTTGTTGTTTTTCTTTTTTCTTATGAAAGAATGTAAGCCAGTAAACAAAAAAAGACCAAGTCAACTGTCTCTCTTACTTTAAGAACCTTAAGGGCTAAAATAGTGGTTTGGTTTCCTGATTGGCAGCCTCAGCTTGCCCGCTTTAAGCTGGCTTGTGCAATTCCTTAGAGGAAACATTTGAGGAGATTTTTTTTCCTCCCACATGACAAGAGTTTTGTCCCACACAACCCACAGGTCTTCACGGTGAACTTCGTGGACCAGGAGTCTGGTCTGACAGAAGGAGCTGTGCAGTATGTTTTTCCTCTCACAGGTGCACAACACTCTACCTCAGAGGAGAACAGATCGACTCTCTTCCAAGAGGGTAGTTGAAAATCAGGCAGGTCTGTGAGAAGCAGCTGCCAATCACAATTTCATTTACTAGATGAGGTAAGAGGGGATGGAAGGGAGCATTCAAACTTCCAGAGCCCTTCTAGCTGATCTTGCTTTATAACAGACTGGTATTCACAGGAGTATTGTATAATCTGAGCTATATTTTTCTCTTACTGTGAAACATATTGAAATGCTTTATGTTTAAGTGTGTGTATAGAAATTCATGAAGTTCTTTTATACACTGAGTTCCAACACAATTCTCATTTTTAGGACACGGTGAAAAGGTAGCTTTTCGAGGGCTTGTCCTGCCTCGGCTTGTAAATTTGGACCAGTTCTTTCCTATTGACCAGCCACCTGACTATTGCCCCCGTGGAAAGGGTGCCCATTCACATCATTTTTTCCAAGCACTTAAACCTGGAAAGATATTTTTTAAAGGACTCACAGAAGCTGTCTTGGGGGTTTGGAAAACACCGCAAAATTGTTAGCAGACCTTTTGACTGTGCTATTTTTAGCAATCCAATTGTGTTGTTTTGAAGTATATTTTTCACAATGGGACAAAGTTTTCCTTACTCCTGCTGATACGTGAACTATGTACAATGAAAAACTTCATTAAAACACCTCAGATACATTTTAACCCCGGCAACAGTGACAACGGGGGAAACAGTGATCTTAGAAGAGAAAGGTTTTTGTAATATTTCATGCTTCTGTTTCTGCAGAGAAGCAGTTTTTATTTCACTGTTTAAACAGAAGTTTGTTCTCATGCCGGTTGCTAGTTAAGTAACTAGCAGCTGACCGGGCATCCGTAAGAACCGACTGTGACCGACCCGTCCAGCTGCGACTCCCGCCCCGCAGCCCCCGGCAGACCAGCTGCCTGCGGAAGGGGATCTTACCTTGGGCTCCCGGGGTCAAGGAGACAGGCTCGCGGGCTCCCGCGGAGAGGACCGGGGAAGCGCTCTGATCCGCCGCGGGTAACATGCGCTTGTCTTTTATGGGCAGGTGGGAGGAGCTGCTCCTCATGGTAGGTGGGCAGGGAAGGCGCGGAGGCTGCGGCCCCGGGAGGAGCCGGCCGCTTCTCTGGGGAGGGGCGGAGGGCGCAGAGCCGGGACCTGCCGAGGGAGGAGAGGCCGGGCTGTGCGCGCCCGGGCGGCTGACAGCGGAGGGAGACGCGCTGGGAGAGACCCAGGGAGCGGAGGGAGGCGAGAGGGAAGAGGGAGAGGAGGGCCGAAGGAGGAGGCGAGAGGAGAGGACGGCGAGCAGCAGGCAGGCGGGCAGGCAGGC